TACCCGGCAGCAGTGGTTCAGTAGTAAAACAGTGCAGTTGTAGGGAGAGTACCTGTGAGCGCAGGTCAGGCAGGACTGTCGCTGTGACTGGGTTGTCCCTTCTAACACCTGTTTTAGTGGAAATTATTGCTGTGCTGGCTGTGTCTACTACTGCTTTCTAACAGTGTGTTGGCTGGATGTGCAGCCCACAGTGTTTGCCTTCTGTACCTGCTGTGTGGCTGTGCAAGTATAGGTGGTCCCAAAGGAATGCAAGCAATGGGAAGGAGGAAAGTGTTTGCAGGGGGGTGAAGTTGGTCCCAAAAGAATGCAAATGATGAGAAGAAGGAAGGTGTTTACAGGGGTGTGAAGTTGGGCTGATCCTTGAGAAATTTCTGTGTTGTCCTTTAAGCATGTGGAAGCAAATGTTTGTGGTAACTTCCTCAAAACAACAGAAAGAGCTCACACTTGCTCTCTGAGACCTAGGAGCAGCTGTTTGTGCATCGTTTCCTGAGAAGCCAAACAAGGCTGGTAGGGACTGTTTAGACCAGTCTTTCTGAAAGGATTATCTGTATCTCAGTAGTAAGGCAGAGACGGCATGGCTTTTTCACCCAAGCATGGGCTTTCCCCACACGCTGTGTGGGACCTGCCTGATGAAAGCAAGGTCTGCTCTCAGATACGCCCTTTGACTTTCAGGTGGGATTGGGCTGCAGTGAAGCCCGTCTCTCTGGGAAGGCCTGCCTGCCATGAATACCTGTTGGTACCTTGAGTCCTGCAATTCAGGACTCTGCTGGTTTGGTCCCACCTATCTGACAGTGTTGGGATTTGATGTGGAAGGAACAGGGTAAGTGATCTGCTTAGACATTAAAATTTCTTCACACATTCGTGCAACTCGAAGTAGCCAAATTTAGATTTAAGGCTGTAAAATGGGTAAATATCAGGTTTTGCAAGACACATATTAGCTGCACAGGTTTTGGTGCCTAAAGTGTGTATTTATCTTCCAAACTTGAATAAAAGCTGACCTTACAGGAATGGAGATGGTGTGGTTACAGATAGCATAGTGGCAATGGAAGGTGAGCTGCAGAACGGTGTTGTGTGTGGATCGATCCAATAACTCTTGCAAGTCGTGTAGAGAACTTTGACTGAAAATGCCAAATACAATTAATAGAAGCCTCAAGATGAAGTAACAAATGCAGATAGCCAGCCTCCTCTCCTGCCTCTAATTTAGGTACATAAAATGACAGGTTTAATCTTGCAGTTGTTTCCAGGCTTGGATGAGGGTGGTGAGGTGGCCCATTAATTGCCTGTGATGGCCTGAGCAAGCAGTGACATATCTCATGATTGTAGGATGCAAATTGGGCCAACATGGGAGCGACTGGTAATGCACCCAGTATCTCAGATCTCCCTGTGGTTAGCTCAGATCAGACTTGGAAATATGTGTCAGGGCATTTATTTCTGATTGGGATGTTCTGAAGTACCACTTGGGAGACCTGTTATAAATGGTAGTGGTTACAGCTGTGTAGGACTTGGAGACTGCCCTTACCACAGGAGGAACTGGATTCTTACCTTGTTGTAAGTGGTAACTTCAGAAGTGGGATAATATCAGACCTGTATCAACAGATTTTCCCTTTATTGACAAATCTTAATTCCAGATTAGGAAGTTTAAAGTTGATGTATTTCTGCCCTAATTAATTGTATTAAAAATTTCTTAATTTTAGCTGGCAAGTTGAGAGGAATCCAGTTCATACTGTGTTGTTACCTATTGTTTTTTCACTCTGAAATGTTTTTCATTCTGCCAAGTTTTGTGACAAGTGACTGACTATCTCTTGCCCTTATGTCACCTAGTCTGGAGGTTGGTCATGGGGATAAAGCAGTGGTGTATTGTGAGTAGGATGGTGGGAGTAGAGCTCACAAGTGTCATAAGACCACATTTTAAATTTATATGCACTCCTTTTAGATGCAAGTTATTTTAATACTCAAGGATTATCATGTAAAGGTATTGTAAGAGCATCCATTGGATAGGCTCATAGGGTTGCTTTTTGGATTCTTTAAATTAGGTATTTTTTAAAGCTAAGACTTGGAGCAAAAGAGGGAAAGCCTTTTCCAGAAAGTTAGTTATGAGTCTCTGTATACAGGTATCTGTTTATATGGCACTAGGTCTGTCAATACCAGAGGTATGGCCTTGATAGTTGTCTTTTTCTAAAGGAACAGGTGATCTGTTGGAGGCCAGAAGATACTCACTAACTGTAGAGTAACTGGACAAGAAAACTGAGCTACTTTTATGTCAGGCTGTGTGCTGACCATAGGAGAAAGGCAGACTTTCCACCTCCTAGGATAGCCACAAATTGTCTATTGGCAAAGCAGCAGGGGACCTCCACAGACTCCAGAGTGAGAGAGGAAGCTGGATTAAGTGTGACATTTTGCTGTTGGTGAGATTGGAGTGTCCAGACAAACCAGGTGGTGCTCCTGTTTGGTTTCTCTTTCTCTTAAAGACTCAGAGGGGTCAGATGTTTCCAGACTACCAAGTGCAGAGTGGGCTTTAGAGGTGTACCTGGATTGCCAGTGAAAGGGATAGTTTTTCTTTTACCTGGCTTTGAGTTTCCTGTGGCTTTCCCCAGGCTGGCAATCAGAAAATCAAACAGAAAACAAGAAGTAGAACATCGTTTTCTGCTGCTTTGGCCTACTGGGCTGGCAGTTGCCGTGCCAGGGCTGTCTGGCATGAGGGAATGGAGGAGGATGTAATTAGACTGAGTAGGATAAGGGAGGAAGGAACTGTCCCCTCCAAAACAGGCTGCTGTTAAGATCAGCGCAGCTCAGCTGGGGTGTAAGACTGCACACTGAGAGGCTTGATAAATGTCCTTGCAAAGCAAAAACATACCTGTTGGTGACAGTAGGTTGCTGAATTGCTGCTGAATATCTGCATAGCCAAGGTCAAGCAGTGTCTTTTAGGATAGTTACAATTACAGTCAGCCAGAGCTAAAGCCTGTGCTAAGCAGCGTAATCGCAGCATTGCTAAATTGATGTTTTCTGACAGCATCAAGTAATTGGTGGCTTATCTAGATGGGACTACTTGAATGGCACATATCTCTTCCACTTCCTCCTTCCCTGTCAAAGATGCGGTTTCTGTAGGAATTTAAACTTCTCCTAGTTTGGGAACTGCTGATATGAGGTCGAATCTCAGCAGTAGAAGCATTGGATTCTCACTCTGCATTTCTGAAGCTGCTTTAAAAATAAATGTATTTTGAAGTATTGTTAACAAGTCTGGAAGAGTAAATATCCTCCTAACCTTCCTCACTTCCCTCCCCAGCCCTTGCATTTTTGTTCCAATATTAAGTTAAAACAAAACTATTTCCTTTCTTTACCGATGGCTTTGTAAATGCATTTTTAATTGTATCTTCTTCCTACTTAACAAAAATCCAGTGGAGTTTTGTAAAAGCCATGTTTTCAGGAATGCTCATTTTGCAAGGGAAGGGGACAATTTAGTGTTTTATCATGATGTTTTAAAATCTCTGGGGTATATTATTACTAAGAGGGGAAAAAAGACCAAGTTGTTGCAGAGATTAGGATATGAATCTTCTACTTTCCATGTCACTGGTTTGAAGACAAGCCAAATTTAACTAGCTGAGGGCATGGATGGCTCATGTTAAAGTGGTTGAAATAAGGTGGTTCTCTGTGTGGGGTTACTTCTGTCACCTTACCTCATAACCTGAGCCATGAGCTCAGTGAGACCTTGTTTCTTCACCCTACAGCTGAACTCCTCAGATCTGGTAAGGCGTGTGGTCAGGGTGGCGTGGGAAACCTGCTCCACCCTGCCTTTTGTGCACCATGTTGGTATAAATATAAGATGTTAGTCTTCAGGGCAGCTATTAAAGATAGTAGTAATTATTACAATAGTAACTTCTTATGCTGCGTCCATGCCCTTAGGACCTTAACCAAATATACCTTAGATTACAATAATTAAAAAGAGAAGACTGTGACCCAGTAAAATACTTGAGTTTGGCACAAATAACAATGCTGAAGAGGAATGTATGCAACAAATATATAATAAATAAAATCAAACTGTGCAAATATAAAGGAAAGAGAATAATTTTGTGTCGGTCAAAACAGCTCCAGGGCTGAGAACTAGTTTGTGCTCAGAGGTTGAGTCCTTTAATGCCACAGATTTTGTGCAGTGTAATCCCACTGCAACCTTTTGCTATGGGGTAATTGCTAAATTCTAATGCTTTCTGTGCCAGGGAATGCTCACCAAAATATTAGGTCATGTCCATCTGTCACCCTCTTCCCATTTTGTTTTTTTGCTTTTATTGGCTTCTTGTCACAGAGGTCTTTGTATCTCCCGGGTAGCTCTTCCAAATTGCATTTGTTTTCTTTTCCTAAAAATATTTGAGATCTTTGCCCGAGGGGGCTGCAGGGCATTTTAGACTGCTGTCTCTTGCATGGGTCATTGGTATGCAGGCTTGTGAATGTTTAAGGTGATCTGTCTCAAGATTCCTGGGAAGGGATGCCCTAGTCCACTGGTTGTGGTTTCCAATTCAAGCACTGTGGGAAAAACTGACTATTCAGTTCCTAGGAATACGAGGCTGGAACTAGGCTGAACCACCTACCCCTGGATGGAGGAGACAAAGAGAATGGATCAACCTGGAAACTGTTCATGAAAGACCCAAGTTCTAGAGATAGTGGTATCTCTAGAAATATCCAGAGATAGTGGTTTGTTGCTCTTACTAGGAGGGTGGGAATTTGTGGTCAGTGAATGTGCATCCCAGCTTCTCACCAGTCCTATCTGCTGCTTGCAGTCCTCTGTCTTTGCCACGCTCTGGCAAAGAGAAAGCAATAAGTGGATTGATAACTCCTTCTCTGTACGCCAACAGTATTTTACTATGCCTGTTAAGTGGAGTTGCTTCTGTACCTTCTCAGTGAATTTCTAGGAGCCAGTGTGAACTAGACCATCAGCATTTGTGCACGGCTCTATTTGAACTGCACTCACATTTCGTGATACTTCTTGTTTTCTTTCTTGTATGCACTAGGTGACTTTGGAGAAAGTGTTGGGCATAACTGTGTCAGGAGGAAGAGGATTAGCCTGCGACCCCAGAACTGGCCTCGTTGCTTATCCGGCAGGGTGAGTCACTAACCGCATTCTTCAAAGCTAAAATAAAACAGGACTGATGCATTAACATAAAGACTCAGGGTGTTTCTGCTATGGTCTCATATAGGACAGCTATTTGCTGTTCTTAAAACACCAGAGAATGATGCGACTCAGCACTGTTAGCGTAATTGGCAAGGGAGAGGGATTGCATTGTCAAGTTTTAATGGGATCCCTTTTAATGGAACCACTCTCCTTCCTCTTGCTCTAAGATGGAAGTTAAATACATTCTGTGGGCTTTTAACTATGTTCTGTAGTGTTGTGAACTTACACATAACTCAGTGTGATTCTCAAGCCAGTAAATAACTATTGGAGCAAGTGATGCTTTCAATGAATTGACAAAAGCCTTCTTGTATGTGCCCTGCAATTTATGACTTACCAAGTTCCTCATTCAAATGTGAAGAAAGATTTCAGGCTTACAGCCTGAACCCACTTGGATCCATGTGGATTCTCTGGAGTGCAACACATCTATCAACTGTAGCCTAAGTCCAAATAGAGATATTCAGAAGGAGACTTCGATGGAGAGCAAAAGAGCTACTTCTAGAGAGACAGGTGAGGGCTGGAGAGGTCTGCTGGGTTACAGGAATCAATATGAGTTTGACTTTCTTTGAGCTTGTTCATTCTGCTGGTCAACAAGCTAAAGGAGAAGTCTAAGGGCAGTATCTCAAAGTAGTGTTGCATGGACATACTTTTAAGACATGAAAGCTGCAATCAGAAAAAAGGAACTTCCACAGCAATTATAGGTGACATTTTCAAGGGTACAAGAAACATGCTAGCAACATTTAAAGATTCTGTGTTTCTGGCTAGAATGAGAGATGGAGTCAGTGAAACTGGCTAGAAATTTTTGCCTGTCCTGGTGATATCCTACTTCCCAGAATCACAGCATTGTTGTGGTTGAGGGAGCCTCTTGAAGTCATCTGTTCCAACCCTCGTGCTCAAGCAGGGTCACCTATAGCAGGTTGCCCAGGGCCATGGCCAGACAGCTTTTCCGTTATCTCCAAAGATGGAGATGCCACAATCTCTCTGGACAGCACGTTCCAGTGTTTGATTGCTCTCATAGTAATACAGACAGAAGAAAAAAAAGTACAACATACGTTGTACTTTCTGCCCATTGCCTCTTTTTCTGTCAGTGGGCAGTTTGATATCCACATCAGTGTTTGACAGCATCTTTTATGCTTGAGCTCTTTGGAGCCAGGCAAATATATTCTAGTGTGTGTTGCCTCTTCCTCTGCATCTTTTCTGACATTGAATATGTTCACACTTGGAGAGAGCAAGGAGAGAGAAGAAAACAAGTGCAGCACACAGATATTTTGGGCTTTTGCATAGCTGAAGATAGATTAGTTTTGTTGATAGCAGTGTCCTATAATGAACTTGTGCGTGCCTGACATTGATTTAATCAAATATGAATACATCTGGGGATTCTTTTGGTTAATTAAAAGGTTATGTGGTTCCTTAGGGCTTTACAGGGAAATTCCTGTTCTTTCTTGTTGGTGGTAACATCTCATGGCCAGGGCAAGAAACCTGCCCTGTCTGGGCAGGAATATAGTAGATGTATGTTGTAAAAGATTAATGGCTTATATGACTTGCTGCTTTTGTTCTATGTCTGGCCTGTTTTGTGATGCTGTTGTGATTTGCTGCAGTCAAGGCTATCTCTAACAAAACTAGCATTAGTTAATGAGTCAAGACATGAGAGAGGGACTGGTGCAGACCTTACTAAGATGATGCAAGTTCAGTTTGTTGTTTTAAGTTTCAGTTTATGCAGTTTATGTTTTACTTGGATTTTTTCCCCATTCTGATTTCCAGTTAATTTCTCTTGATTTGCAAGAATCCTGGCCTTTCTGGCTTTATTTTGTTTATATTTGTTTATTTTGTTTCTATTTGAATTTCGCAGAATCACGGAATGGGTAGGACTGAAAGGGACCACAGTGTGTCATTTTGTCTAACCTCCCTGTTCAAGCAGGGTCATCCTAGAGCACATTGCACAGGATTGTGTCCAGATGGTTCTTGAGTATTTCCAAGGAGGGATACTCCACAACCTCTCTGGGCAATATGTTCCAGTGCTCAGTCACCTGCACAGTAAAGTTTTTCCTCAGGTTCAGGTGAAACTTCCTTTGCATCGGTGTCTACCTGTTGCTTCTTGTCCTATTGCTTGGCACCACCAGGAAGAGCCTGGATCCATCCTCTTGATACCCTTCATTCATATACTTAAATACATTGATGAGTTCCCCTCTCAGTTGTCTCCTTCTGAGACTGAACATGCCCAGCTCCCTCAGCCTTTCCTCGTATGAGATGCCCCAGTCTCCTAATCATATTTGTAGCCCTCCTCTGGACCTGCTCCAGAAACTCCATGTCTCTTGTACTGAGGAACCCAGAATTGGACTCAGCACTCCCGGTTTGGCCTCACCAGGGCTGAATAGAGTGGCAGGTTCACCTCCCTCAACCTGCTGGCGTTGCTCTTCCTAATGTACCCCAGGATACCATTGGCCTTCTTGGCTCCCAGGGCACACTGCTGGCTCCTGGACAGCTTGTTGTCCATGAGGACCCCCAGGTTCTTCTCTGTAGGACTGCTATCCAGCAGGTCAGATCCCAGCCTCTGCTGGTGAATGGAGTTATTCTTCCCCAGGTGCAGGACCCTGCATTTGTCATTGTTGAATTTCAGACAGTTCTTCTCTGCCCATCTCCAACCTGTTGAGGTACTTCTGAAGGGCTGCACAGCACTCTGGGGTATTGGCCACTTATCCCAGGGTTGTGTCACCAGTGAACTTGCTGAGGAGGTACTTTGTCCTTTCATCCAAGTAATTGATGAATGAGTTAAACAATACTTGGCCCAGTATTGAACCTTGGGAGACACCACTACTGACAGGCCTCCAACTAGACCCTGTGACACTCATTACAACCTTCTGGGATCTGCCGTTCAGACAGAACTGTCCATTTACTGGACATCAAAGCTACTTACATGAGTCTGATGTAGCAGACGGGGTATGGCTTATGCTCAGTTGGCTCATGACCTGTCCATGCAACCTGATCATCTTCAACTGTGCTCCAGTGATTTCCTTAGCCCACTGCTCATGTACCGAGGTTTTGCAATCCTGACGTGCAGATGCTTTCCTCTTCCAGTCTGTCTGACCCCTAAAAGCTGAATTTATGTAACAATTCTGTATTTTCCTAAGAACACTTTCAACATACCTAGATTCATTTGGTTGAGATCAAAACAGTTGCCCTAGGCATCCTGACTTCATCCACATTCACATACAAGTAACTATGTGAATGAGGACTTGTGCATGAGAAGCCTTGGTGTTCTTTGAGCATAATCTTAGCTTGGGTCTCTGGTTTGCCTAAAATAATTTGTTTAAAAAAAGTGATTTTTTTTCCTGAATTTTTTCTTTCCTGGAGTTTCTGAATCTCCTGGGAAGTTTCTTAAACTGCTGAAAGAAGCAATTCCCAGTGCAACCCAAACTCATTCCAACTCCTCAGTGGTGCCAAAGAGCTGTGTTACATTATTTTTCCTATTCTTCTCACTGGCTTTTGCACCTCTTATCCTTTCTCCTCTTTGACCCTAATGAAGCTTCCTCTCTGGCAGTGTATGACAGGAGCTGTGCTGATCCTGGTACTTTGACCCTTTTTTTGTGGGATGCTTGTGTTATAGGAAACCATTTCTCCATGTCTGACATAAAGAGCTAAACAGGCCAAGTGCTTCAGATATTGTAGGCCACCACTTTCATATAAGGCTGTTGTCTTGGGAGATAAGACAACATAGGAGAGAAAATTGCATCCTCTCCAAAGGTCTTGCATCTACTGACTGCACTCACCCATTCTTAGACTGGCTAGTGAAATAAACACAAAATTGCATAATTGGATCTCTGTTAGAGTTATGGAGTGAGTAACAAAGTCGTTCTTGGAGGGAGAGTGAGTGGGACAGAAATGTACTACATTTTTTACTTATTGTGGCAGGACCAATGCTCTGTCCTCCTTTGCTTTCACTTCCTCCCCCTTTGCATTTTCCATGCTCTTCTCTCAGTTTATTCTCTTTTGCTTTTCTTTTTTTTTTCAGTAGCTAGTTGAGGCTCTGTTTCCTAGAAACAAGAAGGGAAACCAAACTAAGGAAATCCTCTGAGAATGACTGACATTAAAAAAGAAAAATTGGTTTGTGAAATGTCTATCATTTAAATTTTAGAGCAACTGCTAAGATAGCTTTAGTCAGCTTATCTGCTTTTGGGTTTGGTGTTGTATTTACTGTTGTTTTTAAGCCTTATTAGGTTGGTGTGACTGACTGAGTTATTTTACTTTTCATTGTTCTTCTTTGCTTGCTTCTCAGTTGGTCATGATAGCTGGTTGGAAACCCGATCTTCAGGTGAGGCCTGCCTGTGCTTTTTCTTCCATAGGAGCAGGAAAGTAGCACTTGTGCTTTCAGTGTTCCATGTCTTTTAAACACTATGCTGTTATGTTCTGGTCAGCTTAAGCATCTCCCTAGCTCTGCTCATCAATTTTGAGTCACTCTGATGTATTTCAGGGATTTTTAATGTTAGTGTTCCTTGTTGGGAAAAATGGTATTTGATATATAGCACGTGAGATGAGTTGATCAATCTCAACCTGCTTATTCTTTCCCCTTTCAGCTCTCTAGCAGAGGTCTTTATGTACAGCAACTCTTGCAGACATGGGTTTAATATAGAGAATTCTCTCTGAGACATAGTGAAATGAGTTTCTTTGGCTTTCTCTCAGAAGTTACTGTAGCCATTACAGATACAGGTCCCTGGCTAGCTCTGTGTGTGCACATAGTATATTTGCTGAACAAATGATTTGGATGCCCCCATATTCTGTCCCATTTCAAAATGAATCACCTTGTTTGTAGATAGGAGGAGAGGAATAATAAAAGGAGCTTTATGATCAAAGTTAAAATGAAGATACTGAGTCTTTTTTTCCTGCTGTGTTTTGCCACAAGATCTTGAAGAGTTAGACTTGGTCTTGCTTCAGCTTTC